GCTCAAGTGATCTTAGTAAAGACCCCAGCATTAACTTTGCCTATCTCAGCCATCATAGTGGCCTAAAAACACCAAGAACACTTGACAAGGAGGAGGACTAGATGTCCTCCCTGGAGCCACAACAGACCCTTCTAGGCTTTGCTTCTTGGGGTCCTTCTACGGAGCCCTCTGAAATAACAGTAATAGAGCCCAGGGCAGGGAGGTGTTAAGTAGCAGCGTGACTCTCAAGGCCTGTCTTGTGCTTTCTTCTAATCTAGATTACTTTGTCCCTTCAATCTCTCTCTTCAAAGACTTCTCCCATGGGGTCTTCCACAGTCCCCCACCCCAGCCAAATCCATCAATCTTTCCGCGATGATTGCCACTTACACGTCTCTGTCACCCTCAGTGCCTTCTGCCTTGCCTTTTAGCTAGCTGATGATGTATCTGCTTTCCTCTCTAGATCGTAAATTCTCTAAGAGGGGAACTGTGTCTTATTCATCTTTTTATCTTCCTTACACCAAAGCCTTGCATAGTGCTTTGAACATAATAGGAGTTCAGAGTCTTTAGTTGGGGAAACAATAGTCACACACATGAAACGAATAGAGGACCTTATGATTTATCATTTGAGAGGGGCAAAATGGCCTTACCCTAGGGGTCAGGAAGGTAGCAACCTGGTTCTGTACATTCTGAGCAAACCCATAACATCTCTGGGCCTCGGCTTTTTCATCTATTAAAAACAGGAGACGGGATACAACCATCTCGAAGCTGCTTCTCCAGCTCTCATATTTTGTTTCTCTCATCCCAAGCCTCCAATTGCCTCTGGGCATTCAAAGAAGCAGCCCTGACCCCATATAACTTGAAGAATTGACTTGAGCAAAAATCACTGCTTCATGCGTTTTCGGCTTGGGACATGATTGGGAAAGTAGCAGGACACTGGGAGTGGAGGTTTCTCTTCTCTCAAAAAAAATTAAATGAACACACACACACACACACACACACGTTGGCACACACGTATCCATCACGTTTGTCTTTATTAAACCTCTATCCTCATGTGCTACAATATCAGGGAGTCACCAAGGTTACATCAGCAATGTCTTTGAAGTAGACCAAAATATATCATGATAGTGGGATTTTATTTTAATAAGTCTCACAATGCAAACTCTTCCGGAGCTGAAGTCCCCTGCCTTTGTCTGAAGAAAAACAAAACACATGAAAACCTGACTGTGTACTAGTAAAGACTGGCTGCTTCAGCCATTGCCTGGGCTGGGAACTCCTAAAGCTGCAGTCTTGGAGTTATGGGCTGGCGACAAGGCTAGAGATGAATGAGTTATGGTAAAGACTGCTGGTTGCATCCCGATAGTTCCTTTCTCCTGTTTTCTTGGTAAAAGAACAGAATCTTGATCTTTAACTAGATAAAAGATGACATTTTCCAGCCTCCCATTCAACTAATGTGATCATAGACTAAGCTCTAGCCAGTAAGCCATAAGTAGTATACAAACCTCCCCAAAGTGTTCCTAAAACGAAGGACCTCCTCCTTCCAGCTGCTGGCTGCAATGGCAGAGCTCCAGGTACCGTCTTGGACCACAAGGGGAACTCGGGAAAGACGCCTCCCACGGCAAAATGACATCACAAAGAATCTTGGTCTCTAACACTATGAAGTTGCCATACTTCATTTATTTTTATGTCAGAGTGGTCTTTCATATTGATTTTTACTTACTTCCCATCTGATTTTCTGTTTCTGTTTCTGATTTATTTTTTCATCAGAGAGTAGTCTTGTTTTGTTAAATCATGGTTTGGGGGGTGTATGTTACTCAAACCAAGTCCTAATTGATACTGCAGATGAAATGGACAGGACACTGGACTGGGAGAATCCTGGGTCTGCCAATAGAGAGTTGGCTGTGACCTTGGGCCAGGCTCTAAATTTTTCTGGCCTGAGTTTCATTATCTATAAAATGAGTCCAGGTGGAAAAGGGAATAAATTACAGTCTCAAAGGCCCCTTCAATCTCTAAACTGGATACTTCTGTTAAATCTTCAAGATACTCCTATGATTTGGAGTTGACCAGTTGGAGACCCTGATCTGGAGACTACCATGAGGATATTTTCATGCACACAGATGTCATGAATATGTTTAGGGCAAGACACAACCAGGGGTACCCAAGAAATCCAAGACAACAGACTTCAGCATCAGATCAGATCAGCTTCAGATCCCAGTGCCATGATCTACTAACTCTGGGACCTTGGACAGGTCATCAGTCCTCGTTCTTAAAATGGGACAAATAATACCAAATATCACAGGGATGTTTGGTAAATTCATAGGTATGTAAACGTCAAGCTCTCCCAGGACATCAAAGTGGCAGAGTTCATCTATGTAGATTGTGCCAAAGCAAACTGGATGCCTGGAGAAAATGCCAGCTGCACTGGGCAAATGTCCTCAGTTCTCATGGGTCCCCAGGATGGGGACTGCCATCCACATTGAGTCCACACTACGTTAATGGAGAAAGACAGCCCAGGTTTCATTTCGCTTCATAATGGAAAAGAAGGGGGGAAATCACAAAGAGAGAAAGAGAGATAAAATTGAGGAGCTGAGATTTGGGTTTGTGAGCGCTTGGGCAAGAAAACAAATATCTTTATTGGCTCTGGACAGTCTGCCAATCAGCCACAAAATTACCAGCTTCTCTCTCCTCCCAGAAGGGCCTCCGCCGCTGCACACAAAAGCTGCCGAAGGAACTTCGGGACCTGGAGAATAAAAGCCCCTCTCTGCCGAGCACAGGCTGATTTGCAATGCATTGCTTTAGCATAATTTCCCAACTCTGCAGCCACACAAAAGCATTTCTGTCCCTATCTGTGAGTTTAATAATTTCTATTTCCTACACCTTGCATTCATAATGTATCCTCCCAACATGGGCTTGGGCTGGGCCCTGGCCTCAGGCCCCGGGCATGTCAGCCGCCCTCTCCAGAGCCCCAGGCTGGAACACCATTTATAAGACAATTTGACCTCTTCCAAGATGCAGTAGCAGAAAGCAGGCTGTCTGACCTCCTGGAAATGTAACTTGTGCCTACCTTGCCCTTCACAACACTATTTTTTTTCATTTTGTTAATATATTTATTTCATATAGCACCTACTACATGGAGACATTGTTCTGGGCATTCTGAAATTCTGTTTACTTATCACTAATTGCACAGCACTGATAAAGTGATATAGATGTTGATATAGATAGATATTGTATATATATTATATACATATATATCATATACATATATAAACAAATACATATACATATATAGTCTTGCATTGCTTAATAACAGGGATGTTTTCTGAGAAGTGCATCCTTAGATGATTTCATCAATGTGTACATGATAGAGTGTACTTAGACAAACTAAGATAGCTCTAAAGTCACTAGGCAATATAATCTTATGCAGGACTGTGGTCAAGACATCTAACCTTGCTGAAACCCTATTTTTCCCTCCACACTACATACATACAATTAATAGTTGACCAAAATGTCACTATGTGGTGCATACCTGTATCTATAGAGTATGAGAGTTGAGATTCAGTATGAGAAATGCACTTGACCATGACTCTGTGAGTACTGTCACCAAGTCTATTTAGGTTCATTCTTGTTATATCTAGGATTTGATGATACCTGAACATAATAAAAACTCAATTATAGTTGATGAATATTGAGTGAAAATATAATGAATGCCAAAACCAATAAGTGTAATAGAAAAAAAAATGGTTTGGTTTTGCTTGGTGGAAAGCAGAAGAGGAGTAGGTCACAGGATCCCTTAAAAGCAAAAGTAGTTGTGGAGCTGGCCCTGGAAGTATATGGAGATAAGTTGCACAGAAAGAGGCAGCTGGTGAAAGAAGGAACTCTTTGCCAGAGCAAAGAACCCCCAGCAGAAGTGAGAAGAGTATGGAGGCGTAAAGGCCCTGGGGCTGCTGAAGCTGGGTTTAAGGAAGGAGAGCAAGCTACAGAAGTATGTCAGCCCCAGTGACTCCAGCCTCACTCCTGCCAGGCTGGGAAAGGGAGAGGAGTCAGACAAAACCCCGTTTCAGTTCCAGTTCCATCACTTATCAGCTGCAGGACTGTGGTCAAGACATCTAACCTTGCTGAAACTCTATTTTTCCCTCCACAGAACACAGTCATTACCAGTACTTTGGCTTCCAGATTTGTTATGAGGATGATCAGAGATGGTGAAGCATGGGGCACAGAGCCAGGCCTAGCAGGTTGGTAGGTTTTGAGTGGAAGTCAGAACATGTTTTTACAGGGAGCCTGACAATTCTGATTCAGGGGTGTATTAGTCAAGTTTCTCCAGAAAAACAGAATCCATAGGATATATGGGAAATATAGAGAAAGAGATTTATCAAGAGGGATTAGCTTCTACGATTATGGAGGCTGAGAAGTCCCATGATCTACCATTTATGAGATGCAAGACCAGGAATGCAGTGGTGTAGTTCTAGTCCAAGCCCAAAGGCCTGAAACCTGTGGAACCCCGTGGTAAATGTCCCAGTTTTAGTGCCAAGATCCAAGAACCAGTATTGCCTATGTTCAAGGCAGAAAAACATGGATGTCCCAGTTGACACTAAATATGCAATTCCTCTTTCTTTTTGTTCTAATTCAACCCTCAAGAGATTGGATGATTGCACTAGAAGGGAGATGTTACTTCCTAAGTCCATCAATTCAAATGCTTATATGTTCCCAGAAACAACCACTTAGACTTAACCAAATATCATGCCTTAACCTAGTCAAGTTCATAAAAGTAAACATCACAAGGTGGCTCTGAGGCTGGCTAGCAAACTGCATGCTAATTGTGGACACTCGTCTCCCCTTTCCTTCAGCAAACACCAGCAAGATATATTACCCTCCCCCCAGCCCTATATGAAGAGCCAAATCCGCCAAAGAAAGGTAACAGGTGCAAAGGATCTGAGCAAACCAAGAGCTGGATGATACTATTTAGGAAAAATTATTAGGGAGGGATCATGCCTTAACCCTGGGGATTCAGCAACCCAGGCACTCACCTCAGCAGGCAAGCATGCTTCCTTTCTCAGTTGGCTTTCTTGTACACACTTTCCTTCTGACGGAGAAGAGGGAGACCCCTCTTTCTCTTGTCCTGGATGGCTTTCTCTGATTCCAGGGAGCTTTATTCATCTTTCTTTGCACCCCCCATGGTATCTAGCCCAGAGTAAAATGTGAAGCATTAGATCTGAAGTGGAGCTTAATTCTACCTTTATGTACAGAAGACTGAGACTCAAAAAAGGTTATGTAACCTGCCAAGGGAACACACTAAATTAGGGGTGTATTTGCTAGGAAGCTTCTAGACTTTTAAGACTCCCCTGCAGTCTCCCTGATGTCTCATGGATTAGAATTACAAGTAGAATAGACCTAGTGGGCTTGGTTGGATTGCTGTAAGTCTTGCCCTCTAGGTCTGAGGGAAGCCAACTTTCCCTGAAGTGCTGGGGTGCAGGAGAACTGGACAAAGGAAAGGTCTACCAGCAAAGCAGGAGCTGAGGACTGACTGGGATGCAGGCAGCCAACAGGCTGCCTGGGTGCCATGCTGGTTCCCAGATTCCTGGAGACAATAAACAAACAGCTTTTGTAGGCATGCAAGGGTCTGTCAGCACTCACTACAGCCTGTTTTTGCTTTGCTCCTTCTTTACCAAGAACCCAGGCACAGAGCTAAACAGCTGGAAATGAAGGCTGTCTGCCCTTGTCTGATTGAGCTAGCACCTTTTCATCATAGAACAGGCACCACAGCCTACTCCACTGTGCACTCCAACCCTTAGCACAACACCCCAACACATAGAAGATACTCAAAAAATGTTGCTAAGTAAATGAATAAAATCCATAAGCCTAGGGTGATTATTCCTCTCTTACAAGATCATAATTGGAATCCAGTGTGATAATGTAGAGAAAAAAAGCATTTTGTCAGATGTGTGAGGAGGTGTTAATATCTTCAAGATTCCCCTCTCTTCTCTTTCGTCTGCACCTCAAAAAAATCCGATTCTGTATAGAAAGTTCCCCCCAGGACTTTCCTAACCTCACTCAGGAAACTTAGGTGCTTCAGAGTAGAGCATATTAGGAGACAAGTCCAAGGTCAAAGCCTAGCTTAGTTGGGTTCAGGCTGCTATAAAAAATACCACAGACTGGGTTTAAGGTTTAAACAACAAATTGAATGTCTCACAGTTCTGTAGACGGGAATTCCAAGGTCAAGGCACTATCAGGGTTGGTTTCTGGTGAGGCTTCTCTTCTTGGCTTGTAGGTGGCACCTTCTGTTGTGCCCTCACATGTGCTTTCCTCTATATGCACATGGAGAGAAGTAGATCTCTGATGTCTTTTTCTCTTTTTATAAGGACACCAGTCCTATTGCATTAGGACCCCACCTCATGACCTCATTTAATCTTTATTAGGTCCCCAAAGGTCCTATATCCAAATATATTGGGGTTTGGGCTTCAATGTATGGATTTTAGAGGAACACAATTCAGTCCATAACACTAGTCACACTGGATTAGGGCCCACAATAGTGACTTCACTTTAACCTGACTACTTCTATAAATACCCTATCTCACTAGGTCATTTTCTGAGGTTTGCGGTTAGGACTTCAATATGCAAATTTTGAAGGGATAGAATTCTGTCCACAACAAGGTCTGTGGAGGGTCCTGGGATTGTTACTCTGACCTTGAGACCTTAAACATAGCCTGCTGTGCTATGATCTATGTCGCAGTGGAATGTCCTATAGCAAGGGGCTCACTGGTTGACCCAGGAACGTTTTCAGATTTCACCAATTAGCACTGCTCCTCCTGCTATCACTCCTAGGTTCACTTATCTCCAGCTGTATATGCATCTGCTTTTGCTCTGCTTAGGCCACCAATATAAGGATCCAGTAGCCTGACCAGACTCCATTTTCTGATTTGCTAAACTTGGCTGTCTCCTGAAGCAAAAGGATCCTGCATGCTCCTTTTTATTTTGTCATCACTCATTAGGATAGATTAGACTGTGCTGTAGTTAAATTGCAAAATCTCAGTCACTTTATAGACAGCAAATTTATTTCTCACTAATCTGTATGTCCAGCACTGTTGGGTATAGAGTTGTGCTCCACATATTCATTTAGGGATCCAGGATAATTTCAATTCCACCATATCACTATTTTAGAATTCTCTGCCAGGAGGGTGGGGGAAGTTGAGAAAAACACACCACCTCTTTAATTCTCATATGCCATTTCTGTTATACTCTATTGGCTAGAACTAGTCTTCTCTTCCTGACTCTTTCATGTGAACAGGAAAGGAAGAAATTGGAAATTCTGAGCACTAATAATATCTATAACTTACATCTCTGTAAACCATGATCCTTCCCCAGCCAGGAGAGCCCCCATATTCCCTTCTCCCTCTCCCCAAAACAGAATGCATACTTAACAAGCTCAATGAACAGGCAAAGACCTACGCATTATTTTTGAGTCAATCATTTCAATATATTTCTAATTTGCCTTCCAGTGATGAAAAGGATGACTCTCACTCTCATCTGTCCAGAAATGGGAAGTCCCCTACCTTCCTAGAGACATGTCCTATAGCAAGGGGCTCAATGGTTGAGAGGACCACCAGGGAAAATGTCTCCAGCCTGCTACTGCCCCCCATCCCAAGGATAGCCTTAGCTGGGGAGCACTAACACGCACCCACTATTTACCCTCCTCCCAGGGACCCAGACCCACTTAGCCAAGGGACCCATAGATAAATAATTCAAGCCAGGATACGCTGCTGTGCTGCTGCCGTTGCTGGGGGATTTAGTGCATACATCGCTCACGCTCCTCTTGCTGCCACAAGAAAAATTACAAATTGATCCACCAGACGCAACTCCCTGCTCATACTTCTCCTGGGCTGCCATTGCTTCTTCTCTCAATAAGTAATGGCTAAGCTGGTGACAGTAGGATTTAGGTCTGGTATGGGGAGGACGGGGGATGATAAGGCAGTAAGCAGAGAGTATGAGAAGAGCAGACAGGGAGAAGAGGTAAGGCTAAAGAATTAGCTGACCACAGTACAACATGCTGGGCTACCCAACCATGAGCTCCCATGGAGAAATAAGGCAAGCATTTTGCTGCTCAGTGGGCAGGGTCTTTGTCTTCTACCTCCTTTAGAGTAAGAACTTAAATTATTATTAGCCACCATTTCTCCAGCCTTTATTTTGTGTTAAGAACTGTTCTGGATGCTAAATGCAACAACTCTTTTGAACTAATTAGAATTGGGCTTGGCTTGGAGTGACAGAAAACCCCAAATAACAGTGGTTTAAGCAAGATAACTCCAGAGGTTAAGCCATCAGAACCCAGGTGCCTTCTCTCTTGTTGCTCTGCCTGCCTGGCCTCCATTTCTAAAGTCGTTTTATGTTACAAGGTGATGGTTCCAGCTCTAGTCACAATGATAGACTTGCTGCCATCAGGATGGAAGAAGAAAAGAGCATGAGCCCTCTCTGTAGGGCATTTCCTGGAAGGTGCACACACTTCTATTTGTATTCTATTGGCCTGAACTTATTCCCGTGGCTGCATTGGCAAAAGGGAGCCTGGGAAATGTAGTTCTGATTCCCAGCAGCCATCTGGTCAACTAGCATTTGGGAGTTCTAATACTGTAAGAGATACAGAGAGAAAAGTGACTGAGAGACAACGAGCCTCATCAATCATATCATTCAATTCATGACAACTTTTTGAAATAGTACCATTATTAAATGCCTTTAACAGATCAGGTAACTGACACACAAAATTTCTACATGAAACCCCCCAATCAAAATCATTCTTATCTTTTTAAGTTACTTAATAAACATTAGTAACATTCTACTTTGTATTAATATTAAATGTTTAACCATCAGCCACAAGAGACTGAGCTCCGTGATGGAAGGGCTATACATTTAATTCACCTCTCCCTGGTGCTTAATATCATGCTTGACATAAAGAGAATGTTTAGCAAATGAACATTTGTCACATTAGATCAAATGCAGTCTTTTTCTTTGCTCTATCATCATGGCCCTCATTATCAAGGACTTATTAATTAGCTGTTCCATGCACTTAACTCATAACTAAAGATAAATAGACACCAGTATCCACTGTCCAGGAACTTCTCCATTTAAGAGAATTTAAAATGGAAAGTATACTATTCACCTCATTCCCCACCCTGTCATCTGGGGAAATGAGACCCCGATCTCCTGGTGGAAGAAAGAGCCTCTGAAGGCTTTCTAGCCAGGAGGAATGAATTTTTGCCCCCCCAGGGAGAGGAGTGGGGTTGCATCCAAGAACATGAAACTGCAGCTCAGCACGCCTTTAAGACCCGCCACCCCCGGGAGCTGACGAAGCTAAGCAGTTCAGGCAGAGTTCATCTTAAGTGACTCCCTCATCACCCCACTCTCAGCCCATTCTTTGCGGCATTTGCAATTTCTCTGCTCCGGGGGTCAAGTCTCCAGTGTGCCCTCCCTGAGTAATTGTGAAATTATTATGGTTGGTGATTTTAATTTAAATTGGATGGAGAAATGTCATACTGCGGTCGACTCATTTGCTATGGATTTTCACTTAACCAAATTGATTAGTCAACCAACTAGACTTAACTTGAGAGTTGTAATCATTCATTATTAGATCTCATTTTTCCCAACGCGCCCAGATGGTGTCAAGAAATTAAAACTGCAGCAAAAACTTCAGCAGTGTCTTCTCATCAAGGCAGTGGGGGCTGCCTGAGAGGCCTCAGAGACGGGAAAGGCTGTGGAAATCTGTGGAAGTCACAAGGGCCAAGGGCCTGGGCGAAATGTTGACATGGAAGAATGGGCAAGAGAAATGAGGTGGGAGTTCATCAGGAGGGAGCCAGGAGGAATGAATTTTTGCCTCCCCAGGGAGAGGAGCAGTGTTGCACCCAAGAACATGAAACCCAGGAACTGGTCTGCCCGCCTCCCTTCTTCATGTGTCAAACTTCCACTCGCCCTCTCACATAAACCTCTCCTTTGAAACCTTCCACAACTTCCTCAGAGTAATTTCCCAACTTTCCACTCCTATAGTTCACCTCTGTTACAGAAATTTGAATGTTTTCATCTAATTGTTCTTTAAATATCTTTTCTATTTTAACCATAAGCTTCTTAAGGCCAGATTCAGGTTCAATACTGCAGTGTAGCTTCTATCAATGTGCTCAACACATAATAGGCTGTCAATACATCCT